AGTTTCAGCATAATAAACAGAGAGAGGAGGTAGTAGAGTCAATGAAACAAGATTGGCCATGATTTGGTACTACTGAAGCTGGGTGATGGGTATATAGGGACTTAATAAGCATATAATAATCTCTATACTTTTATATATGTTTAAATTATACCAACCTCTATACCTTTATACTTCTATGTATGTTTAAATTTTTCCATAGTAAGTGTTTGAAATGTGAAAAAAGATTTTTTCACATAATTGAGATACAGGGAAGTCATTCTGGCTTATACTTGAGTTAACTTAGATTTTATGCTAAGATATACCTTTTTGTGGCCTCACAAATATGCATTGTACATCTGCTTTGATTATTAAAGGGCACAATGACCAGAAGTAAAGACCGTCCATATTAAAAATAAAGATTAAATGCCCCTCTTCCTGAGACACTAATACTGGTCCTCCTTTGATAAGACTCCCTTCCCAGTTGCCAAGACCATAGTGACTCACTGTGTACATGCCACTGTTTGTTTTTTTTTTTTTGAGATCTTGAAGAAATGTAACCCTGACTTATTTAATGTTTTTTTCCTGACAAGATACAAAACTGTGCTGAAAACCCTGCTTCTCCAGAGCAGCTTCTCAGAGAAACCTGGAAAGCAGGCTTCCAGGTTAGTCCTCAGTCTGGCTCAAATAAAACTCTTTTCTATTCTTATTATTGTTTATAGATTATTTTTGTCAACATTACTTGGCATAGTTGGCAGAATATTAGAAAAACCCATCTGAGGTCTCCTGGAGTCTACTTCAGACTGGTGCTCGGTACCAAGCACGGGCCCCTTGGGCCCCTCCGGCTTCATAGCACCTTTCAGGTGATTCGGTGAGTCTTCCCTAATATCCAGATCTCCTTGCATTAAGTGATAGTCCACAACTTTTATATGAAATGTTATCTTAAGACATATTATGGAGTCTTAGGAGGGTACTGGTATACTTCCTAGGCAGAGGACCTAGGGAGAACTTCTAGGCAAGGGACTTAAAGGGAATTAGCAGGCAGGACGGCCCGGAAGGAATTTTGGAGTGAACTGGG